AACTTGCTTAAAACCATATCCTTGAAATCCATTCTAAAGTCTTCTCTCATCTCAAATGTCTAGATATTGGGATATCATACTCCTCTTGAAGTATGCACGTTTAAAGTATAGCATTGTGAGATACATAAATTTATTTCTTGAATTGAAGCAAGCCATCACTAAGAGTGTAATCTTGATACTTTACATTACCTACCTTCAATCAATCACTAATCATCTTAAAATAAGCATCTCAATGCATAGCTTCCTTCCATTTTGTCTCTTTTGTTAGATTTGAAATGACACTACTAATGGTAGCAACTTTTGCCTTATCTCTTGATTTGTCCTTCAAATCTAACCTCTACGATAAGTTGTCTGACATAATATGTTGTCGCCCTTGCTTATACTGAAGTTGGATATCAAAAAGCTACAAATATTCTTCCTAACAATGATGCTGTAATTTCAAATTTTTTACATGCAAATCATGTGGCAGGGGTCAATAGTCAGTTTGAACAACCACTGATTTTTCCAATAGATAGTGTTGCCACACCTTTGTGGCATGTATAATCACTAATTATTCTTGATCATGTGTAGAGTAATTACGCTCTCCGTTTCTAAGGTTGGGTGATTCATATACCACAAATTAAAGGTTCCTACCAAAGTCTTCTTGAAGGACCGATCCAATAGCAAAGTCAAAAGCATCAATGTTAAGCATATAAGATAAATTAAGATCATACATTTGCAATATTGCAGTAGTAATGAGTGCCTCCTTCAACTTATCAAAGGCATTTTGCTACTCTAATTTCTATTCAAATGGAGCTCCCTTCTCCAATAGGTTTATCAATGAGATAGCAATGTGAGTAAATCACCAAAAAAAATGGCAATTGTATCCAATAAGGCCTAAAAATGAGCAAACTTTAGAAGCATTCTTGGAGGTTGGTCAATCTTGTATTGCTATTACCTTATCTTACTCCATATGCATGCCTTTGGAGGCCACTATATGCTCTAAAAAAGTGACTTATAACTTCCAAAGTTTATATTTTGATTGCTTCCAATAGAAGCAACTATCTTATAGCCTATGCAACACTTTTTGTATGTGTTGCTCATGCTCTTCAGGGATTTTACTATATACAAGAATATCATCAATGAAGATGACTATATATTTGTCCAAAAGGTCTTGAAATAATCTATTCATCTGATCCATGAAAGAGGTTGGAACATTGATAAGGCTGAAAGGTAAAATCAGCCATTCAAAATATCCATAGTGCTTACAAAATGCCATCTTTTTCACATCCTCTCTTTTATTATAGGTGTTTGCTAATAACCACTCTGAAGATCTAATTTACTAAAGATAATCACATCTCAAAGTTGGTCAAGAAGATCATCCATGCGTAAAAGTGGATATACATTTTTAATAGTTTGCTTATTGAGACCTTGATAGTCGATGCAAAGGTGAAATCCACCATCCTTCTTGGGTGCAAAGAGTACAGGTACTCTCCATGGTTATGTGCTTTCTCAAATGAGGCCTTTTTCCAATAGTTTAACTAATGTCTTTCATAGCTCTTCAAGTTCTTTTGGTGCTATGCTATAAATTGGTCGACTTATTGATTTAGCTCCAAATAATAGTTCTATTTGATAGAGGGCATCTTGATTAAGAGGCACGCCACTAAGTAAGTCAGTTGAAAAGACATTTTAATATTCTCATATGAGTTGCTCTGCCCATTCTATCCCTTCACTTGTCTTTTCTACTATTAATGCAAGATTTAGAACCACCATCTATATCGGTTGCTTATGCTATATTTGCTTCTTCATAAATATTATTCCTATGAGTAAGTCTTCACTTGATACAGAGGTGCAGAGAATTACCTTGCATCCTCTATCTTTAAAAAAGATTGTCTTTGCTATCCAATCAACTTACTTATTTTTCATTTCTAGCCATGGCATATTAAAGATAACATCATGCCTTAGCTTTGTTACCTTGAATCTCTCTCTTAAGACGTAGGTGTCAATCAATTTTAAGGTTTCTTCTTCACATGACTCACTCAATATATTCTCTCTGTCATCTAGAAGGTATATACTTCTTTTTTTGATTGCCTTCGTTTTAATTCCAAATTATTTGGCAATTTCACTTGTGATGCAATTTTTTGTAGAGCCACAATCTATAAGCACTCAAGATGGTTGTCCTCTTAATAATCCCATTAGATGTACTAGTCGACTCTTTTTATAATAATCCAAGGCTATGCCATTTGTCTTTGAGAAACAATACTTATCCTTAGTATTGGCCATCGATGCTTATAGTGAGGAGCTCCATTTTCCTACTTTGTCTCATTATCTACTTGGTGAATTTTGAGACTGTAAGCTTGCCATGTCTTCTTGGTGCTTGAATTTTGAAGTTTTGGACAACCTCCAATTTGATGGCTTGACTCCTGATAATCGAAATACAATTCTTTTTGCATCAATATTTGTTGTCTTTGTAATATCAATGATCCTTTTAGGACATCAATCTCTATTGGCATTAGTTCTTGTGCCATAGTATTAGATAGTGGCATAAGACTTTGTACTATAGGTCGTGCTTTATAATTTCTAAAATCTATAATATTGATCATCTCTACAATCTGAATTGCCTATTTGAATGTTTATGGATACCTTAGCTCTACTTCTCACTAGACCTTAAGTTTCAAACCTTGTAGGAATTAATCCATTATCTTTGCTTCCAAAATATTTTCAATTTAGAAAAATAAGGACTTAAATCGAGAGGCATAATCTTCCATCAATTAAAATTTTGTAAGATTTGCCAACTGATCACATGCTATTTTTTTTGCATTAACGGATCAAAATTGATTCCTAAACTCGGTCTCAAATTCCTTCAACTTACAAAATCCACCTTGAGCTCTAAAGCTTTGAAATTAGAATCACCACCAAATGGTTGCCGTATCTATCAAATAGTTAGTTGCATATATAATTCTTTGAATAGTATTTGCTGTAGGAAATTGAAGGTAGTGTCGCATATTAAAGAGCTATTGAAATACATTTTCTTGTTTTGAAATTCTATAATATGTACTAAGCTAACTCAATTTCAACCTAACGGATGTTCACTCTCTTGTCGTAGAGGCTTCTATTTGCCCATATAAAGATATAGAATATCACATTGACTAAGACATAAGAATATCACATTTTACATCACTACATCATTAGTATATCATAAGCACCAATTTGTGAATAGTATGACATTGACAAGGATTAAAACTTGTTTATAAGTCCATTCAATTCAAAGTGTGCAAGGACAATTTAAAATACAACTTGATCTTTTTGTTATTTATTGCTCTTTCAAAGTATTGTTCTATAAAAAATAAAAAAATTAAACACACCCATGTAATTGACATACAAAGTATAAAGTTATCCAGTCAAACATAACCATTTTTCAAGCAAATCCAAGTTTTTGATGCATAAATTGAATGAATCATGACAATGTCAACAACATTCAATCATATTTTAATCAACATACTTACATGGTTATACACAATTAGGAGGAATATCTCTTCATTTCCATGAATTGTACTCATTGCTGACTGTTTTTACAAATGATTCAAACAAAAACATTTGGTTGTTTGTGTTATCACTACTGTTCATGATTTCATTGCAACATCTCATACTTTGATGCTCATGGTAATTTCAATGCAATGTTTTATTAGAATGATACCAAAAGTAACCTAGGCTGTGGAATGCCTTTGAAGAAGTGTCTAAACTCCAAATTAAATGAAAGACCTTAACATTCTAACTTGGTCAAGACTATGCACATCAAATCAACAAAATTGTGAATGTTTTGCTTCATGAAACTTTCAAAAAACATATGCATATATACAATCATTGTTCAAGAAAATGATGATTTCTTTTGCAACTGAAAATGATCACAGTAAGTAGTGTATATGCCTTTTAAAGTATTTACCAAACATCCATAGTGATCTATTGACTTTAACATGAAACTTGTCAAAACTAAGTGCAAAATAGCTCAAAACAAAGCAATATCAAAGAATTGAAGAATTAATAAATGCAAACATAGTGAGAAATGTGGTTCAAAGCATGTGTTGTTAAAGCATCCACTATTTACATATCTTTTTGATACATTTTGATCAAACTAGCTTTAATTATTCTTGTGCATACATATTGTTTAAACACAGTCCATAATACCATTATTTTTGTTCTCTTACACTATTTACATCCCCAACCCAAGGTGTGAGTGTCTTTGAACAATGTGGAATTTGGGGTGGCAAGTGTGAATGTTGGATTGGGGAAGAATATAATGGAAACAAATGTTGTTTGATTGTTTTGGAGTGTATGTACATTGGGAGTGGTTTCCATGTGTCAAAAGACACCTGGAGCTAGAAGAGAAAAGGAGAATAAAAGGAGGTTCAAAAAGCAACACAAGCAAGGAGGAGAATGCAAATGGGAAAAAGCCATGTCATGTGATAGTGTAACTTAGAAGCAGGGAATAATGGGAGGGAGCGTTTGCTTTTGTCGTGGCTTTGGCTTGGGCTTGGGCAAGAAGGATAACATGCTATGCTATGCTATGCTGCAGCCAGCAGGGGGAAGGGATATCAGGGGAGCTGAGAGCAGCAAAAGGAGAGGAATTGTGTTTCTGGGAGCTTCTAGCTTGCTAAGCTTGGCCTAGCCCAGTGGGGTGGAGAGGTGGAAGAAGGCTGGGGTCGCCAAAGCATGCCACGCCAAAGCCTGCCACCAAATCTTCTTCTACCCAGCTCTTTTGTTACTCCTCCTCCTCCTACGACTCGACGATACGATACCCTCTCGTTTTCTATTTTTCCTTTTCGTGTTTTCCCCAGTTTTCCATTCGTAAGTGGCATGTTGACGTGTTTCGAGGATTCGGTTGCGCCGTGACGAGGAGTCGAGGCTGAATTGTCGAGTTGCAAGCGTCCTGCCATCGCTCGACCACCACAAAGTGAGAATAGCTTTACCGTTGGCCCATTTTTCCCCTTTCTTTTCCCTCTCCTCACCCCCTCCCCCCCCCCCCCCACGGTTTCCGCCCTTTCACCACTGCCTTCCTGCATTCTTCAATTCTCACGTCACGCTCTCTCGGTCGCCCGCTATTTCGCATTGTTGCCACCACCGTGACCTAAGCTGAGCTTTCGGGTTGCGAGCGACGCTGTTAGTTGCCGGTGCCGCTCGGGAGGATTGCGCGCTAGAGCTCGGGTCGTCAGGTGATGCCCGCCTCGCCTGTCTGTTCGATGCGTGCTTGTTTGGCGTTTCTCTGTTTGCTGAAGTCGGTGCGATCTGGATCTCGCGGAGTGCGTATTTGTTTAGTTGTTTTGTTTGTTTTGTTGTATTTTCGTATTGGCGTTCGGCGCGGCGAGTTCTTTTGGCAGGGATTGGGACTGAGGGGAGTGATGCTATTCGCGTTCTCTGAAGAGGTGTGGGAGGTTCGAGGGGTTTTGTCTGGTTTGTGGTGGTGCGCAGCGTCTTGGTGCGTGTGGGGGAGGTTCCATGTGTGCGCCGGGAGAGGAGGCACTTGGCTTGCGCGCAGTTCTTGGATAACGTGGTTATGCAGGTGGCTCAGGCTCGGGGGATATGCGGTTTGGGAAGAGCTTGGTGTGTAGGGAGTTCTTGAGAGGCTAGGTATTTTGCTGGCGAAGGATGTAGCGGTGAGACGAGAGTTATCCATGCAATGTCTGCGCAATGCAACTTGTTCTGCAACAGGAACGAGGTGCCGACCTACATAGCAATATTAGCACAACTCGATGATAGGCTGAATGTGCGAGTGATTGGAGGGTGCAATGTTCTTGCCGCTTGTTAGAAGTTCGAGATGCCTTCTTGGCGAGAAAGGCGTAATATCTTGTTCAAAACGCGCACGCTTGCTATTGCCTGCTGTACACGAGAGTCTCCAACTATGATGTGTCGGGTCGGGGTGTAGCCTTTTCGCAAGGCTTTCGATTCTGAGTCGGGATGGCACGCAGATATATATATATATATATATATATATATATATATATATATACGTTATTATTATTGTTATTTTAATATTCATAGTTTTTGAGCCGAACGATTCCTTGAGCCGACCACGCTGGTGTCGAGAACGTGAAATCTGACGTGAAGGACCGAACCTCACTGTTGATCATGTTGCCGCCTCCATTTTGATATTTTCGGTTGAAAATTTGACGGAAGCGCATGAGAGGGCGTTGTAGGTGGTCGAGTTCCGGGCATATGTTGATCACAATTGTCGTAGTGCAATCGCAGGTCGCTTCTGGCCGCATGTCACTCAATCCTGGCGAAGGGTGTCATTTAAGGGTTACGAGGTTAAGTTTCTGCGAAGGAAGAGTATAGTTTTACGGAGAACGGGATCCAAGCTCATTAAGCGGGATATAAAACGTTTGTGTTCGTTGATGTTGTACCTTGGTCGGTTCTTTGTAGCTTGACGATGAGCGAGCTTGTGTGGGAAAGCATCCCGAGCCAAGGTCATGATGGCATGACTACGTTGCCGAAGTTGCTTCAGTGAAGTGCGAGCTTGAGCCTTGTCTTGGTTGCTTTTGGAGGGATTGAATTTGGCGTAGTATTTTAAATGGATTGAATCGGTAACTCAACTGGAACAAGGAGAAGCGAATCTCACACATCAAGGATTTGTGGTTCGATCTTGTGGTGTTCCTAGTTCATGTTAAGTTTTTCAGGGCGTTTCCGGCGCCTCGAATGCTCAAGCGTTGGCATTGAGGGAATCGGTAGCGTATGGACATGTGGCATGATAGTGTGTGATGACTCTGGACATGGCCGTGCCGCTGGAATTAACATCTACGTGACCCGGTTCTTACCGATTTTTGACATCCTGTGAAGTTGAGGTGGTTATGGAAGTTGCGTCTCCGCTCCATGTCGGAGCGTTGAACATGGCTATGGAGTTTTGAGGTCACTAATCAGAGTATGTGGTTGGATGCAGGGGGTGTGAAGTAGCTTTCTGTGGAAGCGCATTTTTCAGTTTAGCACTGGTTTTTGAAGGGAACGCTTTCTGTGTCGGTTGAAGATGGAGGAAATAACAGAAGGGGTGGCTGATATGAGCGTGTATGATGCGCACAAGAAGAACCGGATTCAAGTTTCGAACACCAAGAAACCATTATTCTTTTATGTCAACCTTGCGAAGGTAACCAGTTGACATCTTCGTTGTGTTTTTCCGACCGGTCTTTCACGGTCGGGGATGGCGTGGATCGATCGTATACTTTTTAGATTTGAGTAGCAACGTCCCATTTTCACAGGCTCCAACCTCGGCATGTGATTCTGGTCGGTTTTGTCGACTGCTGGAACCTTCAATGGCAGATTGAAGACGATCGGTATAAATGTCATTGATTTAGAGCTATGTGAACTCGGTGGTCATCTGCCCCTTTATGAGGTGGAATGGTTGCAACTTAGTTCGGGAGATAGTGCGTAAGTAATGGTGGTTGGAGCTTGAGGCGTATTTATTCTTGGCGTCTGAGACGGGGTTTGAGTTTCGTCGTGCGGAGGTGCACGAGATTCACATTTAGGAGGATGTTAGTCGCAGCCAGTAGACGCAGAGGGTAATGCTTTTCCTAGTTCGCCAAGTTCGAACCTACTTCAGACTATTTGTATAGATGCGCTGCACATCCAACCTCGAGTGTGTTCTTTCTTTCGGAACACGAGTCAGGGCGAGGGCAGAACGTGGTCTGTCCAAAGCATCTCTGTGGAGTACTAGTGCGCGTGTTTCTGGTTGAAGGTTTACGTGGTCTATGTTTGCAGCCCCTCCTAGCTACTAATACGTGCGAATTGTTTTGTAACAAATACAAATACAAATACTCATTTGTATTTGTTAGCACTGATGCTTTTAGATAGTGCTGAACTAGGGATTTACCGTGGTTTTGAGACCGAGTTATCACTTTGAATTTCTTAGTTTGAGCAGTAGTTTAATATGACGATGTTGCAAGTTTTAGCGCCGATGGTTTGGTAAGGGATAACATGTCTTAGAGTGCCGGCTGTATGCTGGCCTACCCGGCTTCTTTAGGAGAACTCCCGAAGTTCTCATTCTGTTTCACAGCTGATCACCCTATTTTGAGGGATTATACACAGGATGTGCTGCTGTTATAGTCGTGGTTGTTTATCTCCAGCATAGATGTGAATGGATCAGAGGAGGTGATCGGTGAAACTGTTCGTGCAATATGGAAGGATATTGGTGATCAGATGGTTCCAGAAGATGCAATGTATTGACAACAAGTGTCTCTGTTATGCAGAGATATATGCAACAGCATGAAGAAGTGGAATTGTCAGCCTTGGGAATGGGTGCGTACATAAGAATTCGAATACCCTGTGGTTTTTTAAACGATTTCATGTATGTGGCATCGGATGTCATCGTCACTGTCGGTGGTTCTTAGTTTTGTGCTGAATGTCGGTTTACATGTAGTTTGTTTGTGCGCGCTATCGTTCGTCTGTCATGTCAATTTGACGTGCTTGAGGATTACATTAGAGGTAGACAGCAAGATCCCACTGATGTTTCAACGTTCACGGCAATCCTGCAGCAATTGCTACGGTGGTCACGGTGGCTGAGATACTAAAGAACAACGGTTTGGCAATCGAGAAGAGTAAGTGTTTCGAGGGTCACACATCTTAGATTTTCAAGTTGAACCAATTATGCGCTTACGAGATATTGAACGCTGCAGTAAATAGGCGGAAGCTATAAATGTGATATTCTGTGATTTGTCGGTTGATTTTGCACTCGGAAGTGTTCAGTATTGCAGGATTGTTACCTTGTATTTTCTAGATGTGCGTGCGAGCTTCGTGTGTTTGACATGGACTCGTGTTTGGTTCGTGTGCGCAGGAATTCTAACCTCAACGGTGGACATGAAAGATGAGACCAGGGGTCGGCCCATTCAAAAAGCTAAGGTATAGTTTTTGGATATATTTCGTATCCAGTGGGGAATCCGTGGACTTTTAGTTGTGGCAAGGAGTTTCAGCTCGCCGCTAACTCGCAGTTGATGTGGATTGGAGCTTTTAAAATCTCGTTTGGTGTTTTGTTGGTCTGATGATTCTGTAGTTAATCCAGGACACCTAATAACTGAGGTCGACGATTTGATTTGGGTTGGGCAGGTCGAGATTATTCTGGGAAAGTCGGAACACTTCGATGAGTTGATGGCCGCTGCAGCAGAAGAGCGAGAGTTAGCTCCTGAGGAGGATCAGGTTGGCCCCTGACGTAGACTTCCCTGTAGTTAGGTGTAGAGTAGACAGTGGCTCACATCTCCCTCCATACATTGTACATGTCGATTTTGACAGCTTCAAAGTTCAATGAAATCTTTGATGCCCTTGAGCACATCGGACAATTTTGCCAGGGTGATTATACGATATTTTGTCAGCGACAACCCGTTTGTGCAGTGAGACTTGCATTTCAAGTGTTGATTGACTCTTTTTGGCCTCCCTCTTGCAACCAAGTACGTGAATGTGGACAGCTTGATAAGTCGTCACTTGATACGTGAATGTGGCATTTGAGCACGGATTTTGAATGAAACATTGGGAAATGGTGATGGATAAGTCTTTCCTCACATTACCTCGCGTCCGAAGGTCAATGGTCACGTGTGGTTTCCAAGTGTTGCATTCGTTGTGTGTGGCGATGGATTTATTTTAGTCTTGGTTAAGCTTCCTCCACTGTGACTGGGTTTCAATTTATTCGTGGGTATGCACTCAAGTGACTAGGTATCAAACTGTTATCAAGATGCACTATTTTTGTATAAGAAGCTATGCCTTCTACTTCATGTGATGGTGTTTCAGAGTTATTTGAGTTTCACCCTTTAGCTTATCTTACTTGAGCTTGTTTTATTGTAGTGTTTATTTGTTGTGTGGCATAACATGGTATTAGAGCAAGCTGCATAGGAGAATGATAGAATCACGTCTAGGTAGGAATCACACCAATAGAGTTGGGGACCATGGATTTAGTCATAGTATAATCCCAAATGTTATTTGGGACTTGGAGGAGCACAATTTAGAGCACATTGGAAAGGAAGGACTTATGGGAAAACTTTTTTACAATGAAACCTATAGATAGCCACACATTTCCACACAGATAATAATCTCAACAGAGATTACAATAATATTATTATTCTTATTATTATTTCTATGATATTTTTAAGATTACAAATGATATTCATGTGGACCAAATTGCCATGCTAGTATGGCACCAGCAATATAATGGAGATGCTAACGTAGGGGAGCCATGTGAAAAGAATGTCATGTATTGCATTGCCTCTCCTTTACATCAACATCGAACAATGATTAGAATTTATATAAATAGAATGTGATTTAATTAATATTTAGGATTGTAATCTTTGATGGTATAAATCTATGCTTGATTCCTTGAGTTAGGTTAATTATGACCAAAATAATATGGATTAGAAAATTAGAAAAGTAATTTGATTAGTTTTAATAATTTAGAGGTCATAAGTCATTGATACAAGGGTTGATTGAGAGCCTGTGAGTTCACCTACAATCATCTCATATAATTTAGGGTGAATTAGAGTTAGAACTTTCTAAAAGATTTAGTGAAATTTAGAAATGACAATTTTGAAGTTTTTTATTCAGCTTCAACAAATTCAAGTGGCCAAGTAGTTTTTTTCAATTAATAGAGGCTTTCAAATGCAATGGTGGCATTGAATTCACTCCATGGAGTGAAGGAAACATGATCAGCACCTTCTCCTCCAACATATAAGTAGAGCTATGAAATTTTCATTTTTGAAGGATTTTACAATAATTGCTAAAATCTTTAGAGGTAAAAAATTTCATAAAAATTGCAAATAAATATAGATGAAGGCATGTGAATTGTCAATCGTAGCATAAAAGGTATTTCAAATACAATAGTGAAGTTTGATTTACCAAAAATTACTTTTTTGATTACTTACAATAGCCATCAGCCTTAGTAACAAAATTAGCTTTTGGGTGAATGAAGGCCATAGATATAGATTAGGGATCTTAGAAATCAAGGGTGGAGATGCAACCACCCTTTTACAAGCTTATACTCAATTGTATAAAAGATGCTTGGTTTTCCAAGCCCTTTCTCTCTCTCCTCTTTTGATGAAGGGCAAAGCCATTCCAAAATTTGGCCAAAAATCCTAATCTTAATTTCATTTAGGTTTTTAAATCTCATTGTAAACTTTGTGGGTGGATGTGCATGGATTTTTAGTTGTGAATGATAGTTATTGTCAGGGACATACTCATAATTACATATACAAATAGGTAGAAGTAAGTAAAAGTAGATAAAAGTAAGTTAATTCTATAGTATTTGATATGGAAGCTTCCTAAAAGCTTCATAGATGCTGCTTTGACTTCATAGGTGTCTTTAATTGACTTTTTGGATTAGAAACGTGGTCAACAAGTTGGCCATGTGCCACACATATTGTTAGCTTGAAGACCAAGCTAACTATGTGGCCCACATGTAAAAAAACTTGCCTTGTAAGTCAAGGCATGTGTCCTATAAAGTCAACACATATTGGAGGTCCTATAGAACGTCGCCACGTAGCCCCTAGTTAGATAGTATATATAGAGACAAGAGTGAAGCCTTCTTCACTCTTGTCAACTCCTTTCTTACTTCTAGTCTAGTTTTAAGAGTCTGTAGTTTTTTTTTGGCAATAGCCATCCCAGTTTTTCTTTCAATATACATACTTATTTATTTATATTTTGTTACCTTTCTTTAAGTGAAGGCTCACTTGTCTAAATTGCTTTTTCATCGAGTTCTCGTCCTTGATAGATTGACAAGAGTACACCTACAATATCAGAGCTTTGTCTAATCTTGATTAAGAGTGGATTACCCCTTTTTCTTCATAAGATATAAGCATATTAGAAGTTGCCGATTACCCTCTTCTAAACTGATATTGTCTTTACTATTTTCTTTGTTCTCAAGTCCTCTCTTCTATTTGTCTTGAGCGATATTAGACATCTTCTCTTTTCTAAGTGTTATCATGGTAGAACTTGTTGAAATGAAGAGTGCAATGGCACAAATGCAAGAACAATTGAAGGAGTTAATGCTTGTGATGCATCAACTCAATTTACCACTACAAGGACCAACAAGATTGGCAAGAAGTGAAGATATAGAAATGGTTGGAGCTCCTTCAACATCTGCACCAAATCATGTCCTTTCTCCTATGGAAGAACGTCCTTCCAGTGTTAGAGAACCAAGAATTGCCCTACCCGAGAAATTTGATGGCACTAGATTCAAGTTTCCAGGATTTATCAATCAAGTACAACTTGTGATTGAACTTCAATCCCAAAGCTATCCAACTCCAGGATTGTAAGTTAGATTCATTGATACACTTCTTTTAGGTTCAACACTATCGTGGTTTTCATCTTTTCTTGAATGATGAGATTCAATATTGGATAATCTAGAGGCTTTTCTGGCGGAGTTTCGATCCATGTATGGAGAACATGATGCAATTCGTGTTGAAACCAATAAGAATTGTATTTTACGACAAGGCAATTGATTGGTAACGTTGTATGCTTCACAATTTTGACAACTTGTAACTGATATCAAGTGGGATGATGCTGCACTTATTAGCCAATTTCTCTACGGATTACAATATGAGGTAAAAAAATTAATGCTCAACTTACCTGATCCTCAAACATTGAGTCAAGCAATTGACTTTGCTGTAAAGTACGACAATCACCTTTTTGAATTTTGATCTGAGAACTGTACAAGTAGACCTCAATATTACTATAATTCAATGGCAACACCAACAACTCTTCAACACATACATTAGGAAGTAGAAGATATGCAAATTGATGCAGTACGATTTAAATTTCTTACTGAACAAGAATAGACTCATCGTCATCAAGAAGGATTATGTTTATATTGTGGAGAACCAAAACACACTGCTCAATATTGTTCAAAGAAACGACGCAACCACAAAATGAAGAGTATGGCTATCAAAGAAGATAATATGTCGAAAAACGAGTTTATCCGGCTACAATAGGGACCGTGCGGCTGGAACCTTACACAACATCTAGTAAAGGTCCTATTCTCTCCTCAGAGCCTTTTCCTTGTTTTACATTAAATGTTATTTTAGAACCTAAACATTACAAAGCCTCTGCCTTGTTAGATTCAAGAGCCTCAACGTATTTCTTAGATGAAGAATTTACTAAAAAACATAGCATATCTTTAGTAAAGAAAACTAAACCTATTCATGTAGAAGTCATAGATGGTCGTCCATTACCTTCTGGAGATATTACTCACAAAACCCTTCCTATAGAAATAATAATCAATGATCATAATAGTTTTGTAGTATTTAATATCATTAGATCTCCCTCTAATCTAGTCATTTTAGATTTATTGTGGTTAGAAAAATACAACCCTCAAATAGATTGGATTTCTCGAACTCTTACTTTCTCTAAAAGTATAACTAACACTGTAGTTAATCAAGTAGAGAGTCATAAGTCCAGTTCAATTAAACCCATATTTATTGGTGCAAAAGCTTTCTTGTATGCTGCTATGAAAGAATCACCATATATTATTTATGCCACACTTGTTTCTACTGATGAAAAGACTTCAAGTGCATTTCAAGCCAATATCAAGAATTTCAAGATGTATTCAAAAAAAAGAATGCGGATACACTCCCGGAACATCGTCCCTATGATTCTTTAATTGACCTTCAAAAAGGAGCACAACTGCCATTCGGATCAATCTACAGTTTATCACAAAATGAGTTGACTAAACTTAAGGAGTATATTGAAGAAAATCTAGCCAAGAATTTCATACGCCATTCTAAATCTCCGACAGGAGCTCCAATTCTATTTGTGAAGAAAAAAGATGGATCATTGCGGATGTGTGTTGATTATCGAGGACTCAACAAGATTACCATTAAGAACAGGTATCCACTATTTTTAATATCTAGACTTCTTGATCAGCTGAATCAAGCTAAGATCTATACAAAAGTAGATCTCTGGAGAGCATACAATCTAATATGCATCAAAAAAGGAAATGAATGGAAGACTGTGTTTTGAACTAGGTATGGATATTTTGAATACAATGTTATGCCTTTTGGACTTATAAATGCACCAGCAGCTTTTCAACATCTAATGAATGATATTTTTTGAGAGTTATTAGACGATTTTGTGGTCTGTTATCTAGATGGCATCTTGATCTATTATAAGAATCTAGAAGAATATGATTTTGATGTTCGTCATGTGTTACAAAAATTAAGAGATGCGAGACTCTATGCCAAGATAGAAAAGTATGTATTCCACATTACTCAAGTCGATTTCTTAAGTTACATCATTTCAAATGATGGACTTATGATGGATCCTAAGAAAGTTCAAACTATTATAGATTGAAAGATCCCAAAAATGGTAAGAGATGTCCAATG